CAAAAAGGTGTTACAGCCGCTCATGACTGCTCAGATGATCAACTACATTTCGCTACACACGCCGTTTAGCAATTTCAGTTAGGTATCAGTCAGGTTATCCGGAGTCTTCTTTATTTGTGACCTAAATTCTCCTAACTGTTATATGGCAGTTTGTTCTGTGAATGCATGTGGTGAACTCCGTTTTACTTCAGTATTCGCCTACGTTTAATGGGTATAACTTTGCATTTCCTGTAGCCCACTGCGAGCATTTCACATGCAACCAAATTTAAATGGTTCTTATGCATGGATTGGCAAGTTTAACTTGGTCAGACACAGAGTGTATCACTATCGATATGGTCAAATGCCAGCTAAAGTTGTAAGAATATTAATTAATGAAAACAACCATCTTTTTTATCTTGAGTGACATCTCTCATACTTTTTATACGATGTGTGTAAGGCAAAGTCATGTACGCGTGCTACAGACATGGCGGAATGCATATAAGCTCATTGCAATAGGCAATTGTTAAAGCTAATGAAATCAAGATAAAAATATCTCGAGGCTAGTCTGTTAATAAACTGCATTTACTTCCGCGCCTTGAATGTAGTATTACATGCGCGATGCTGATGATATAAACATTGCTTTGGTTTTGTCAAATAGATCTATAAGATTAAGCGACCTGAAGAAGGTTTTCAGCAGGTGACCTAATGTAACGACCTTTATTTTTTAGGCCTCTAACCATCTGGCAGCAACCGGCCTTACTGGAGCTTTTAAGAAAACGTCTAAAATACGCACTTAGTTAGAATGTAATGATATGGCTTCTCATAAATTGTACATTTCACATTGACTGCGTCTGTTGGAACATGCGGGATGTGCTCCACGTAAAAAGGTGCATTGATGACGTAAACAGATAGGAAAAAATGTTTCGTTCTTCAGATTCTAAAGAATGACAGTTTTGATATTTTCACACGTGACTTTAAGCTTTGCCTTCAACTTTGTCCACCTTTCCAATGCGATCCACCATAATGTGAAAAGTGCTGAAATTCACTAGAATGCATGCTTGGGCAAACCGATACCTGTCAATGTTGATAGCGTGAATAGATATACACGTCACCATTATTGATGTACCGTCTAGGATTGCCGAAAATGCCGGAAGCGCTTTGAACCAATGAGGGGCTTAGCTCGCTTGTCCATGAGCTTAGGTAATACTCTCTCGCAAAAAGTTGAATATCATCGTTTTATTGGCGCTATTCAACATCCGCTATACAATGGTTAGAATGTGCCCACATTGTTCCATAGGGTCCTATACGATAGACTCTCGGAACGTTGTGGGCCCACACTCAAATGACGAAACCCGACTCCCCTTTTCGAGTAATCTGTCTTCTCATATCATGTCTAACGACACGATCCCCTGTACTGTAATATAGGTTTACTCAAATCAATTGTTTGTTGGCGCCTAGTAATGCATATCGGATACCTTGTTTGATGCATTTAACAAACAAAAACAATGCAACTAAATCCCATCACAGATAGAAGAATATCGTTCTCTGATATGCATTTGTTATTCTGCAAATCATCAGCGAATACCTGATCTTTACAAATATATTCCTGTACACACAAAGAACAATATATATGCACGTAGACACGTGCAAGAACAATAACGCTGACATCCATATCATTTAAAACTTACTTTGTTCTTAATACACACGAGAAAGACCACATGGTTTGAACGGCTTATCTAACATTGATGTGTATATTGGGAATTTAATTTTAAATAAAATGAACTACCAACATTTAGAATTTACTCACTACATTTAAGTCACGTCTTACTTTGTGAAGGACTGTGCTGCTCATTGTATGAAGGAGACAGCTTCAAGACTGTGTGAAGCAATTACATTCGGAAGAGTGTGTTTTTATTTTAAATTTAATACCTGTCACATGTACATTGAAATTACTAGTGATGACATGGAAGTACAATGCGGTAAGTCAATATTAAAGTGCGTCCACCACTTTACAGAACATGCGAAAGAGAATTTCACTCGCATGACATTCCTAACAACCTGAGACTGATTGGCTTAGTATGTTGTGCAAAAAGGGGCTTATGTCAAAACTATAATTTATAACTTAAATAGTAATAACTTATTTCTTGATCAAATGCTTTTAATTCGTAGTGGCATTCATTTTTGTAGTGTATTTTATTTACGCTTTGTGTTAGATACGTAAGTACCATTTCCAAATTTCGTATGCCTTGCAACCATATGTAATTTAGAAGTTTCCAATAGGCAGCTAATAACTTATCTTTTCGAGTCTTTTGATTTCCAAGTGGTTTTCAGACCTCACTATGTTCCACATGCATGTGATACGTTAACTAACAAATGTAAAACGGACCTGACACACTTTACGGGAGAGGGAAATTACGGTCTGATTACAATACATACCTGTTTCAATCAATGTGATTGTTTATCCACAGTGTCTTGTACACGAGTCTCGAAATACTAAATCATAAAATTTGGTACCCATAATTTTGAGCAGCAAATCGGGCCCATGCTATCATGATCTGTTAAAGTTAATAACCAATGTTACAGTTGCATGTCATGTTGAAAAAAATGTGTATTTAGTATGTGCATGTAAAAATAAGAGATACGGTCTTTTATATATATCCTCTTCAGCGTACTTAGACGTTTACTTGGCGAGAAAAGGTGCTTTAGAGACGTGATCGCTTATTGCTTTGCTATACCGAATTTCATAGGACATGCATTAACTTACTTAGTGATTAAACTTCTCAAATAGCGTAGACAACACGTCTTACGAAAGATATAGAAGACAATGGATCAAATAATCGACGCGGAGTTTTTATAGTGTGCATGAATATCTAAGCTTCTAACGTTTAGCAAGCTGCGATACTTGGCATGAATGAAATTATAATTATCTTGGATCGATAGCAATACTATTTTCAAATAATGAGCGCAATAGAAATACCTTTGACAGTTCCGGAGAACTGCCTTGTTTTTTCTTTGTTGTTGAATTTTCAGCAACTGGTTGTTGAAATATTTGGCTGGTGCCACTGTTTTTGTCTCGGCCAAATAATTCAAAATGCCTTTTCTTCCGCGTATGCAATAATCAAATGTATTATTTACATTCAAAACCGTTTTAGTAGGTTTTTAGTTTTCCATAATTTATAATTAAGAATAAGCCTTTGGATATCTTAATGGTGGATTCCAATAACACTATTGGTAAGTCTTTGTCCTCTGATTTTGTTTTTGTGTGTTAATACATTAAGTCCAGTATGAAAGAATCCGCTGTGCAAATACGTATGGCTGCGATGGAACCCGATCCGCGTAAATGATTGACGTTCCCTCTGTTTGCATACAATTCTCTAAAGAATTAACCCAAAAATAGCCTCTATATATCATTAGCTTGCACCATTCCATATTACCTCAGCATACTGATGAGAGACGCAGGACATCGTGCTTCTCACTAGCGGACGCATATGACAGCGAGCGTGTAACGTATCGCCCGAGACGCTTGGTAAGCGGATTCTATTTGCTACTGAAACTCGGCATGGAAGCAGTATCTATACTCGCAACACAAATCAGCTCTTACATAAGCTACTAAATTTAAGGAATACAAGAGATGCAATCATTAACGCATTTTTACGTTCCTTTTCGTTATGTTTAGTTGTAAGGTTTTTAGATATTTAGCACATAACACGCTTCATGTCAGCAGTAATTTACAGGCCTAGTGCAACAAAGACAAGATCTCACACCTAAGTTCTCGGCTGGTTATATCTCAATAAGGGTAAATGAGAATTATGTTGTTCGGTAATTTCAAGTCCTGAAAGATCGTCCGGACATTTGTATGGTGAGCTTTCTGATCGGCTTCTCCAAGACTCGTAATAGCTGTGTTATGTACTCCATTCCGCTAATGCCTCAACATAGGATCAAGAGAGGTATTAGTATAAAATAGCCCTAACACGGCAACCACTTAGAGAGAAAAGCAGTGTGCTCCACTCCAAAGTGACAGAAAACAGCAAATAGCAATTACCATTGAACTCGTGGTATAATGATCTGTTTGATTCCTCATACATGTGTTGTTTTACGGGTCCTGTTATAATTTTTCTCTAAAAAATGTATTCCTTTAACTTGTGCTTTTTGTTGCACAAACCCTCCATTCAGACCTAGCCTATATTTTAAGCGGCCCAAGTATTATTGGAATATCACGTGACTATTTATGGACTCGAACTCATTTTACCCAACTGACGTACAACCACAATACCGCTGTTCGGTTTTTGAGGGCATAAGGAAACGTTGTCAAAACTTAAAAGGTCTTCCAGTGTATCTACCGGCATACACCGGCATTTTTTGTTCATTCAAATGCAATAAAAATGTATATGACATAACGCGATTTGTTGTCATGGGAACATACTCATGCGAAATGCGCGATATCAAACTTCATGGTGCCTTCCAATTTCCCAGCCAAGCGTGAACAGTAACAGGCTAGAGTGGTGATGCGTCACCAATGAATGATCGTGACGAGAATTATGAATGTAAACTTCACCAATCCGTCATTGGGTATAAATAACAAATCATAGGATCTGCACTGAAATTGAACGAAATGTCTTTAGGAGACGCCGTAATCAATCGAGGGTTAACGCGTTAAGGTGTCCACTTACACTGCCCAGTTCAGCACATGTTGGGCGCGTGCACTTTCACCATGATGTTTGGCTTTAATGCATATTAGACACTGCATTCAACGCATACGCAGAAACAACATAGCATGCCAGAATTCTGTGAAGTGGTGCAACACGAGGAGCGCCACAAGCGACGGCAGATAGCTTGTGGATAAGGTATCTCAAGTAACGTCCCGATTGCCCACACAAGTAGAGCAGGTACGCTACAAATTGCATCTACTTTTTGTACATGTGCCACCATTCGTGCGATAATTGGTTGATACCTATGCATATCCTTTTCTCTGACTTTACCACGACAGCGTTTGGCGCCTGTTTTCGTCGTAAGCGAAAACCAGCTACAATTTTGCGAATATCAAGGTATATGTAAAAACTGCACACGCTTCTCATATATATATATATATATATATGTATATATATGTATATACATATATATATATATATATATATATATATATTACTTAAACTGATATGGACACAATACGATAATCGAGTCATGTGAAAAGGCAGGGATTCTTAAAGTATGCAGTCAATAAACCTGCACAACGGGTCGGCATTGAGGTCGATAGGCGCCGAATTCGAAGCAGACGATCATTTGCGGACTACCCTATTACTTGCAGCGTAGCAATGAAAGGGAAAAATAAAACATTCGCGGGAAAGAAGTCGGAGACCACCCAATCGAACACAGCGACAAATTGGTGCTAAATTTGTCGTTAGGTTCTTTGCTATCAAATTAATCGTCTCTTGTTGGTATCCGTCTTGTGAAAGATCCCTCAGGAACGAGTCCCTGTGCTGAATTGGGTAAGTCAACAGGCGAGTCATACTATCAAATCTAAGTGTTCCCAAAAGGTAGTCTAAAAGTGCTTCATAAATTGATGATCTTCTGCGCAGGAAATAAGTAATTGCATTTAAACATGTCATCATCTCATAAGGCTCGTAAAAAATTCAGCTTTGCGGGCTCGTATAAACGCAAGAATGACAATGCATTTGCCTTTCGTTGGCATTTAGAACTCGTTGTCAATTTCAACTGCTCTATCTCTAAGACAGGTATCTCAAAGAAAGCAATTTGTTAGTTTTACTCGAGGCTTCAAAATGCCTGAAAGGTTGCACGAGGTCGTTTAACAAGTCGACGTACAATCTGCTCTAAGCGCCGTCGGGCCTGGGTGACGCTTCGTGGCAACTGATATAACGTAGTTCTTGGTTTATGTTTATGAATTTACTCCAAATATTGTACAGCTTCCAAGAGCCTAATACAGTAAAAGAGTGTCTTAGTGAAGCCACGACCCGCTTTTCAGTACATTGACATTGAATCAATTTAGGTAAAATGTGAATATTCTGTCATACTTATGTAACAGGTCTAATCATTACTTTAGAATATTCATAAATGCCTAAAAATCTAACAACAGCGAACCTGCAAAATGTATGCAAGAGAATGCACTTTCTAGCCCTTCATATTTTATTGTCAGTTAAAACTACTCAGGCTCTTTAAAAATACTATGTCCGAGTATTATACTAGCGTTTTTAATATTCAATGTGTGGCGATATAGTTGTTTCTAATCCACTTATCCTATGTTTAGCACCGTACAATCTACATGGCAACCTTGCCGTCTTTTTAAGTCAACAAAAGATGGTACTTATGTTGTACCTAATGTATCGTCAGCTGATAGTAGAGGATACACTTAGTATCCAAGTTTTTTTTTACCTAAAATACAGGTAGAGTCATTGGCAGTAAGTGTGTATAGCCTGTGTTGGTGCCTATTTTTCCGGATACAAAAAATAGAGTGCTTCCAAAGTCTGTGCGTGCTTCAGCTAATTCATCCAGCGTTTGTCCTAACTATTTCATAGGCTCATTAAGACTACAGTAGAATGGGAAGAAACTGCCACAGTCTGGTGTCTGCACCCACGAGTAACATCACCCTGTACCACGCTTATTACCGTCGCATCCTCTTTCCATAATGGTTGTATCAATTACAGTGTCTTTGATTGTCTTCATCATTTTACGTACTATTTTGTAAACTCCGCCTGTAAGTAAAAGAGTGGATCTTGTCCTGCATGCAATTTCACTAAATAATTTAAGTAACGTCCCCCTACAATGGAAGCTGTAGGATTAACCGTTGTGGCTCTTGGGTTCGTATCTCCGTGCTTTGCCGAAGAAGGAATTTATTTTTTCTTCAGTGCTCTCCTGCCTTTCGATCTGAATACATTTTGATAACGTATCTCATCCTATTGAAATCTATTCGTGTTGGACTCATTTTTATTACTGCAGTGTTAACGCCTATTGCATAACAGCTTCGTTGCTCAGTTCAGAGGCGGAAAGATGCAACCAGAGCTAACATCAGCATCAATAAAGCGCATTGAATACCTGCTTTCGTCCTGCAGTTGTCATACTTTCTCATATTTAAGTATATTCGTAATGCAAAATATTGTAACAGCCCAATATAAATACTAGTAAAGCGCCTCAAGTAATAGTTTCATATGTCAGAGAATCGTGACAAGAATACGAATTTCCTCCCTTCACGCTTCCAAGTTCTATGAAAGCAGTTACTGGCACGAAGATGATTGCCACCTGATCGATGATTTTTTCCCTCATGTTGAATTTTGAGTTACTATTCTGTATTTGCCTTTTTAAGTATTTCTCACTATGTGTATTACAGGTGGCTTCGCGGTGGTGGTGACTGCTGCTGTATTTCAAGGCATTTGCTGTTTTATGACCGCCTGGTGGATCTCAGATACCTTCGTTTCCTTTGGAACAACCTTTGGAACGAGGGCTGGAACTGGTTGGTTTTCATTATTCGCATCAGTGTCTTCAAAATCTTAGTTACACATCATACCTTATTGCATATACTACCAACCTCTTTTCTGATAGTAACAACGCAAAGACCGCTTTCATGGTAAACACGTCGAATTGTGGCTAAGTTTCGTCACTGACTGCCGGTGTTCAGTTGTGGCAGAAGCTCACAAATTGATCTCTGCTCGCACAGGTAAAATTCATTGGATATAAAATAGAAACTCCAGGTGAAAGGTTATTAACATAATGATAATAAAATAAATATTTAGAACGATATAATAATCAAGAACGAGAAAATAATTTAGCGTTGCATATATGACCCTTGAGTGTTTTTCCTTGTTACTAAAATTAACCAGTATACACCTGGAACAATGTATATCTTTATTATTTTTTACCTGGAGGCTTCGCATATATGTCTAAATAATGGTTTCGATGCAGATAAATAGATTAAGCATTTGATGTCCTTTTAGATCGAAAAGTCAGGTTTTTAATCTGTTATGTAGAAGACGCTCAATTTTTAACTTATAAGGCATGTATTTCAACAAACAGGGAAGACCTGGCAATTTAATTAGCGTGATTTGGTTGACGGCTACTTTAAGAAGCCAATTTCGCTAGATGACTACGCATTTTTGTCTCAGATGCAGCTCTTCTGCTTCCACCAGAACTACTCATAAAAAATGTAAATCACTTGGAGTGTATAGGTATGCAAGCCTTCCTTGTGACACACATTTTGATAAAGCCGACTGGGCACTTTTCAAGTTAAGAAATTATCGAACTACACCAAAATTTTTCGACATAATTTGGACTACTTTCGGGCGCACCGATATAACTACCTAATAAGCCAAATACGAACAATGTTCAGTTTGGTGCGACTTCGTTAAAAATAGATCACATGTCAATATAGGGGTATCAACATTAGAAAAACTCAAACATAACACAAAAAAATCGTAGGACATGTGACTTATTGACAATACTATTGCACAAGATGTGATCGCCAGTCGTATAAGTATAAAACACATTCATAGTATGACATACCGTAAATAGGCTCGTGTGTGTTTGATTAGGAGTTTGCTTGGAGTACCTAAAGTTTGCAAGCATGCACAGAGCCATCGAAGGAGCTTAGATTGGTCAAGTTACCATTTCGATCAAATCGTGGGCTTGGGTATGATTCCATCAAAAATAACCATGTTTCATATAAAATGCATTTCGTTCCCGCTTAATTAAATTCATAAGTAGTACTTTGATATACATAGTATGGTAAGTAGACAAAGCAACGCAAGTACCTTTATCTAACTGAAAGCCTTTTAGGAGAGCCCTCTAGGAGTAGCTTTTAATGGCGGTCGATATTGTGTCGGATGATAACTGCAACCTTTTTTAAAACCAAATTCAAGAAGATTCCTTAACATTTGAATTACTGTCGTATTGCTGAGGAAATGGGCTGTAAGTATCGTTGTTATTCTCATATTGCTCTTACGTTCTTCTTTTGTTGTACACGAGGCAATGATGATCTTCAGCCAAGTCACTCATTTTTACTTCGCCGATTCTATCACCCTTGATAACAGTAAATTTATTTCTGATTATTTATCTACTTGCTGCGCAACATTTGTGAGTATAAAACACTCAGTGTAAAGTAGGTTGGTGCAAAGCCGCATATATATGTCACCTGCTCCAGTGGTAGATAACAACACATGTGCGTTGTAATTCAAATACAAGTAGTCAAATCGTTCCACTGGTTTTTGCTTCTAGGAAATAGGCTAACCGCTGCCACCGTTGGCATTGGTGTGTTGGCTTTGGCAGTCGGTTGCTGGCATTTAGCAAAACAGCGTTGGATGAAAGACTTGACCGAAGGGAAGGTTGCGGGGCAACGCTCATCTGAACCTGTGGCGAGCTCGACGAAGACTACTACAATGGACAAATCTGGCAGGCACAGCGACTCAAATAACAACAACGACACTTCTAGTAATGGCAAAAGCTGCAGCAACAAACATTTGTCAGACCTGCGTAGAGAAGAAAAAGTGAGTTTAACTATGGTCGTCGTCATGGTTCCTCGGTAGTAACGCATTTGTCTACTAAACTTACGAATATCTGGAGTATTCTGAATTCAAAATCATATTTTAAAAAATTTTGCCTTGTATCAACGGCAATTCCTATGTATGCACATCTACAACGTATAGTTTGCTTACGTATGGGCTCAGTTTACTAAGACCACCTTGCTAGTCTTCAATATCAGCTGACAGACGCAGCATTATCATCTTCGTTTGGGTCGGCGATTATCGTGTCAGCCTTATTGACAAACACAATGCATATGTCAATTAGGCTTAGATAAGACTCGCGGGAAATCAGTCCGAACTCGGCAAAAGTAACTGGCGCCGCTGTTAAAAATAGGACTTTAAACCTTTTAATGCGCTATTCTCTATGTCACATCTACTTTTTTTAACTATAACGAAGGTTAGAGAATAGCGACTGCTTTATATTCTTTTTTTTTTTTTTAATTTATTAGAAAACACCACAAACAATAAAAGCAAAAAAAAAGCCCGAAGCTTGTTTTATGAGTTTGTCGCACAGTTTTTGATGTTGACAATTATTGTGTCTTATTTTTTTGATAACTCCTGGCTGCATCATTTAAACAATATGATATGTGGTAATTTTCTCATTTCTGGGCTGTCCTTTCTCCTGTATGAACTGCATTTTTAGAATGATGATAGCCAAATGCAAAACCGTCCGCAAAAGCATTGCAGAAATCGTCAGGGTCGTGGCCTAAAATCAAGTCGCCAGTCTCGAAAATCTACCAATTCCAACCCGGGAATCAAAAAAAACAATAGCGTGCCGAACTCACCTCACAAACCAACCCCTTCTATCAACGGAAAGGTACCTGCACTTAAGGCCCATCTTTTTTATGCGGGATACCGATATACTGATATACTGCACAGTCAGGACCCGACTCACCAATTCTTGACCCTCGATATTACTAATATTAGTATTATGTGCGATTTAAATTGTTTATTACAGGGTCATTCCTTGGTCTGTGCAAAGGTCATGAAAGCAGGCAAGTGTTGCCTTGGACAACCTGACTGCCTCAATACAATAGTTAATAAAGGGCGAAAAGGCCGTAAAGACGGCAAAGATAACATTTGTCACCGGGATAAAGTCGAAAACTCCTCTTCGGTCTTAATTAGGTGTTCTGATGAGTCGGAAGATGAAAAATTAGTAACCGATGTCGACTCCTATTCCGCGAATGATCTTCAAAACGAACATAGCTACTTAATCGTGTCTGGGTGTGTAATCTATTCAACTTGTCGCTGAAGTTCTCAGCTTATTATGCTGGAAAGCAACTATAGACTAACAAATTCCAAAGCGTTTGTTTTATCTCATCTTTATTGTTTACCATCGTTATTGTTGTTACCTATCTTCGTTGTAAACGTCTGTAGTCACTTTTTAACGTAAACAAAACGCAGAAAAGTAGAGAGGTTGACGAAAATCGCAACGAGGTACATGCCGATTGGGCAAGTTGTATATCCGGCTATTTAATTCCGATAGTATGGAAGTTTGTAACGAAGAAGGCCTAGAAAACAAGTACACCGAATGGTTACTGGAACGTTTATAATGGTTAAAAAACTACTTATCGAGGTTAGTTTATTAACAATGACTAGCGTATCCATTCATTGAAGTGCAATTACAATATTAAAGTCCGTTGTCATCTGCAGTTATCACCCGTGTCAACTGCGTATATGAACGTATGTTCAACTATTCTAAAAAAAAAAAATTGATACACTGACCGAGGCCACCAAAAAAAGGTACACGACTAAGAGTAAATGTCTAAAATCAGAACATGCCAAGGCAAAATGGCTATAATGTCATGTTTACTTCCGAAATATGGTAGGCTAAATCACTTACTAATCAGAAACTTATACCTAAAAATACTCCTGAGAGCAACTGAGCGACGATTAACTGCTAGACTCCGAAGCAATTAGTGATGCTCTCACGTTAAAGCAAAAGACTTATCTTAGACTAACACGTGACATGCGGTGTTATCACTGTGTAGTTAGTCCATTATATACTCTTCACTGGTTTAGCAATGCTTTATTCTTTCTAGCAGCTTTGGTAGGAGGTTAACGCATACGCAATGGCCGTTTTTGTCTTGCATCAGGGTTTTTTAAATTTCGTTCTTTAATGGTCGTTGGTTTCCACTGGAATGCTTTAGAAAGCGACAAACCTATTTCTCTTGTGTAAGTCACAAAATTTTACTATCATTTCGGACTTCAAAGATGGGTATGCAAGGCGATGAACAACTGTGTTTTCATCTTATATTCGTTATATATATTTGTTCTGTGTTCAGTGAAAACTTTGGAGAGGTAGGATGCGTACGCTAATTTAAAATTTATCTAATTCTATAAACGAATCCTCCAAAATGATGTACTAATAATGGGTTGTAAAATTAACTGGATAATGCATTTTCATTTCGAGGGTCATAAAAATTTATGAATTGTATTGGCTTTAAGATCATTTTTAATCGCACTCAAGGCTTGTAAATTTCAGAGGGTTTGAATTTTGTACGATACGACTAACCATCTGATGATGAGAAAGAATTTTTTCGCAAATTTGTTAACAGGAATGATGTTTGTGAAAATGAAGCGGTCGAGTTAGTAACTGAAAATGTTGTTAATGCGTCCGAAAATGCGAGCTGTTGTATCTCAAAAAACAACGGGAGCAAAGAAGATCTCGATAATAATTGTTGTACGAACAACAAAGAGACTGGCAGCGGTGAGAACGATGGTATTGTTATGGTTGTCGATAACGACAACGACGCACAGGTAGAGGAAGAAGAGGATGACGACGACGATGATGAGGGTGCCGGCGACGATGACATCGATTTTCCATCACTTTACGGTATTACCTTCCAGAATAGGGTCGAAGAGGAAGAAGAAGATGGAGACGATGATGCCGACGACGACGACGCGATCGATGACGACGAAATGACAAACAACGATCATGGTAATGTCGATGGGTCAAGCGTTCACCATATTGGGACTAGATCATCAGCCACTGTAATTACGAATCCCATGCAGATGTTATCCTTCAAGGAAAGCGACCCCTCCGTTATTTTTTCCGGTGCCAGAGCATCCTTAGCGACTCCGGGAATTCCAGACAGCTTCGCGTATCCGATGTATCTTCGGCCCGACATACTTGATCTACTCAATGAGCGAGCCAAACACAGCCCGTAGGTACCTTGCGACAGCCCGGCGGCGTTTTTTTGCCTGACCAACGCACCAGGAAAGTTGTCGCCACTATGAAATTTGACTTGCCCGTTGTAAAAGTCAAAAAAGTTGTCACTAATTTAAAAGCTTAAAGTTCTATCCTTTGGATGTGCGAATTTCTTTCTGTCTCCTTATTTAGACTATGAAGTTTAATATTTTATGTAAAAAATGTGAAGCTGCCTCTAAGCTTTCTTGTGTTTTGGGGTAATATTGCTTTTACGTATGCTTCATTAAGAGCTAGTCTAAAGATCTGTCGCGCGGTTACAAGTAAAGCGAAATTCTGGAGTTGAAATCAGTTTCGCTTGGGCTGCTAGAAGAAAAATACAGAAAAACGATATATATCCTTAGTCTTAAGAATCCGTTCAGATTCGCGATTGTGTTTACTGGCTATTAAGGATGTCGCGTTTGATATTCTTTAGAAATATTGATTGTCGTATGTATGTTGAGACTAACTAACAGGCGAATGCAGTCGCGGCCGAGTGTACATATAATTACTGTATAACATTTTCTTCTGTTGCTTTCAAACATGCCCTCATCTGACCTTCACAACCTACGCAGTCCATCGCAGGATCCTTGGTGTGTGCGCAGTCCCGTGTTTCAAAGTAGGCTACGTACCTTCGTGGGTGAATCTTTACTCGGTAAAGAATCAAAATGGCGACGCCTACATTAAAATTTATATTTATAATTGGCAGTTTCTGCGAAGGCACAACTTATAAAAATAGGAGTTTGCTATATAAGGAGCGGCTGGAGCTTTTTTTATATTTTCTATAAATTCCTCCGAACGCGGTTTTTTATGCAATATAGATTATAAAGTATTATTGATATAAGTTCGCAACTTAAATTAAAAATGAGTATGAATTTATTGTGAAATTACGTTTAAGCAGTATGGGAATATCGTAATAACACTCTCTACCTATAGTATTAGAAGTAGTCCCTATTGTAGCGCAAACCTTGACCCTGAGGCTGAGATCTTTCTAGAAAAAAACAAATTTTTCAGTTAATTATCGATGAAAAACATGTCAATAGTTCACTCGGCTTTTTTATTTACCATATCACTAGAAACTTTTTTAGAGCATTGTTTCTAATCGATTGACAGTTTTCACGTTCCGATTGTACTTATTTTATAGTCCGACGCATTTACGCACACAAGCAATTTGGCTTTCCTTGTCCATGTTATGCGGCAGTTGAAATTCCTTACCCGAATCTAATTTCGATTTCTTGGCTGTTTTCTTTATACTGAATGGATCTTATAATTAGACGCTTCCGTATGTGAGCTGGGCGCGTGCATATTCGTCAACGTTATGACAAACGGTTTAACGGAGCCCCCACCATCATTTCTGTACGAAGAGGGACATCATCTCAGCGCTAATCACGCCAACAGTGCTCTCAGCTATAATAGCATCACCAGTGCGGGTGCGAGTATTAGTTGCAACAATCGGCCAAAGTCTGCGCATCCAGCTCTCTTTACTGACAATGCTAGAAGCACAGGAGCTACACTCACCTATAAAGGCAGTAACAACAGTAACAGCAACAGCAGTACTTCTCCAGGGTGGTACGTTCAATTCATAGTGGGTAAAACCTAATAATAATTTCTGTCGTTAGATCTAACCTATTAAGTTACATAAAACATACTCGTCACAGTATCCTTTTGTCTTCAATAAATGAGGCAACATTTGCGAATCAGATATTTATTGCGCCGACACTGGTTAAAATTGATGTATTGTACATATGGGCACCAACGCCGCGGATAATAAGACTTCCAGTGCTGTATTGACTAAAGTCTAATAAACTTATATATGCAAAAATGATTTTCTAATAATCGGAGACGAAACGTTTTGTTGTTACAATTTGCGTTATGATTTGCACCCATTAGCTGCATACGTACTCGCCTCGTTCTACTGCCCGTACTTAAACAAACTATATTTACAACAATCTACTTTTGATGTTTTGATTAACGTCGGCCACTTTGCGGCTCATGATGTACAATAATAAATTTACCATGAAACTTTCATATTTCTCAAATGAGGCTGAATATTATTATGGACTTATTTACGCGAGCTTTATTTCAGCTAGGCTATTTTAGTTAAATTCAAATGAAGTGTTTTACCTTGAGATGACCTCAAAATGTGTGTCTCATAAACAACATAATTATTTTTTTGTGGATCTGCACAAAACTCATCTTGGGTCTCTAAGACTAGACTTGCCGTGTTTAGAGTCTTCATTTTGAAGAGATCTTCTTTAAAACATTTGAGGCAACATTATAGTACGTTTGTTTGCTATAAAAAATTGGGGGGTAGGGTAATGGCCGACGATCACTTCCATCTGAAGTTGGCAATCAACAGTCAATTGTAAACACTCGATTTAAAACGTAGACCGTTCAGTTCAGCCGAATTGGCTAGACTAGATGAAAAGCACCTATGAGTGCCATCTCTAAGGCATTTTCTTGCAAACAGGTGAAGACCACACAAACGGCTGTTATAGCAAGCAGCAGGAAGTCACACCGCGCGGAACTGCAATTCTTAACCGACGAAAGCTAAATTAAACTTGGTTGATAATAACTTGTACTTTTGGAACATACTTCTAGAATACAACTTAATCAACTCGAGTTTCTGACGTCTTGTATCTCACATCGACGACGTGATTACTACTGGAGCAAAGATCAACAACTGCACTTGACTTAGTTTTACCAAGCGTCAGTGCACACCTTCTGAACAGCAACTAGACAACCTGGCCACTTAACGTAAGTTACGCTGGACGGCACGAATTTACTTCTGCTGTCCCATGTGTCAAGTAAACTTTTCCTTTTGTCACAAGTGTTTTTTTCACCGTGCACGATCTCAAACTGAAAACGGCACCTTGGGCTGAACCAAAAGAGCGATTCATCAACACATTATTGGAGAATTAAAAGCCTGGTACTAAAATAGGACTCGTTCTGTAGCCGTTAAAATATGCATGAGCAGATCCTAAAAATACGAGCTCTGCTCAAAACTAAACTTGAGAAATCACTACATAGTGCTCCAACTGATGTATCTGCTGACGCATCGAGATAATTATGTAACCAGGTAATTCATTGAAGACTTAAACAGCTGGGATTCTCATACAGGCCAGCCACTGCGATAATTTTTACATTTGTAGCATTCACTTCACATGGGGCTCTGCCGGCTTCAATTAGTGGTTAACAAGCCGCTGCATGATCTGCAACCAGGAGGGCGTCAATTGTGGAAAAGGAGAAGAGCTTCAAAGTTTGCTTCATGTTGGAATTATTGGTCTCACGCGCGTCTGAGGCGAGCAAATTGTTCCCAAGGCGATATGGCAGAAAAATCACGACATTGTTATTTAGATCGAAATTCCGATTATCGGGATGGGCCTAGATAACACCTATTTCACCGCCGCTGATTTGAAAAGGCTCATTGATATGATTGGGCGACGGACGTTCTTGGCCTGAAGGCATAGCTCATCGACCTTAAGACTCGGACGCCACCAAAAATATTTGCGCGTAAAATTGTCCAAGTTTGCCTTGAACCCGTGTACCCTAATCAGGACCGAGATTTCAGATGTATTGGGTTGATATCTCAAACAACAAAGAAGACGGGTTAACGTACGGACTATTCTGTTCGTTTAGTTCAAGGAAACATGAGGATGTCATACAGATGAAAAGATGACGAGGTGCGCAGACATTATCAACGCATGAGGACAAAACACACTCATGACAGCATCAGCCAACCGAGAATCTACAACAGCATCCTCCAGCTTTTGAAGTTCATTACAAAGATTCTTCGCCTACCCATCATGTAAGTCTAGCGCCATGCTGATGCTTTCAACGGGAACCGGAGGGCTCGCAAAAAACCGGCTGACCCACAACCTTCTAAAGAAGCTCGCTTAGATAGTAGCGTGTGTCCCCTCTACAGTACCTGCGATTCTTTTATGTTTTTTTAATACTCACTTAGCAGCTAAATGTCATGTTTTTATCCTCTAAATGCACTCACAAGTAGTCAATATTTAAATAGTCAAATCATAGCTCGGATCGGAGTCGCGGAGGTGATCTGTAGTGATCGCTAAACTATTTTTTGTTGGGATCGTGATCCAGGGACAGGCGTCTCTGGTTGGTATGGCAGTTAGAATTCTCGTCAAAAGACCTCTCAAAAAATTTGTTATTTTAAAATTGATCTATAAGTCAAAATGGTTGATGTAATGCTCCCATAGTGATTATTTCAAGATTGTATTTACGAATGCAGGTACGTCAGAAAAATAATACACGAGAAGTATCTTTACCTGTATCATTCTAACATGCGATAACAAAGCGATGTATTTAGCCTATTTTAGCCATTATATTTTAATATTAAAGCAGTGTTGTTTGGAATTTTTGTAATGGTGTTTTTCAACAAGTACATATTCTATTGGCTCTCGCAGATGAGATTTTGCTAAACTTAGTTTGATCACTTGCTTAAGTATAATCAATGCTGAATCAATGCTACAGAAGTGTTCAAATTAGTTTTGAGTTGAATGGTTGGGCAAAATGATCTAGATCACAAATGTCCTGATAACAATAAGAGAACCGTTTCCTTGGCTTAGACTTTTTAAAGTGCCCAGTAGTTAAAAAAATATGTAAAAAATACCATGTATGGTACAAATGATACAAAGATAACCTCACACATAAGGTTCATGAATTACACTTAACCTAACACTATTTTTTTTCTAAACGTATGGTACGACTTCAGTATCATTCCCCATGATGGTGTAGTTGGAAACGTATTTGTATACTAAACCTGAATGATACATAGTGATCTAGGGCCTTGAATACTTCGTTTCGTGCTCGGAGCCAGCCGTCTGATAGAATACCTAACAGCGAAAAAAAAACTGCAGTTTTAGAACCATGCGCTTGAACCTGAATATGAATTTAGCCTCAATAATAGGTTCGAATTTCGTTAAGCGTGTATCCTATCACGAACTAGCAGAATCCGAATAGTCTTTCAAAAAAAAAACTCAAAATCGTCAAACCTATAAATCTGAAAACGTATGCAATTCAAATAGAGCATATGTGCGTTTCATGAAAAACACGAGCTGATATTATGCAGCAGTGAAAATTACGCATGTAGAAATCCGTTATAATATGGAGCCCAGCAGAGGATTTACTTTGTCTACTAGCAGAATCAATCATGTTCCTATACCAGACTTTATCCTTGGCTTCATGATTCTATTTATTTATAAGAAGCCTCTCTGGCTAACATCACGCGCTCGTAAGAATAAGCCATTGCTCCTAAGTACTTCCGTGCTTCTGCAATAATGATCTCCATCTGCATAACGATGGGGAGAATTTCAGCACAAATAACGTCAGGTCGCTATCCTGAATCGTCTGCATATGTAGTCAATGAACGATTTTATTGAATAAAGCCTTTGGTTCAGCGCATATGACGTAATTTCTTTACCATACGGGGAATATTGGATCAACACCTTTTATAGGCTGACAAAGAAGAATCTACTGCAATCCAATAAGTTTAAGTGGGTAATTTGCTCTAATAATGCATGATCCTGCGATGCATTTACTACGATTTTCCTAAGCTTTTGGTTGATAATGACTTTATGCTAATAAAAAGAGACGAATACGGTTTTTCGACATGAGTCAAACAGTAGAATGATAACGATTGATAGAACAGTCCATTTTGATGAAAATTATTGGCGTTTTCAGTGTACACGACGCTTATACCTTTGGAGTTTCCAAATATTTACTTTAAACAATAAGCGCAATGTGCCCAAATATACATAATACCATTTGTATGCGGATAATTAAAAAAATATACGATTATTCTTTTTGGACGGTTTTTTTTATTCTTATAGTCACAGCTGTTAGGGACTTCGACGCAATAATGGTCGCAAACGTAAATTTCGATATCCATATTAGATCTGCAGGGCTCATATTAAACACCATATGTCCATTTTACCATAAGGAAAAAGAATTGTGCGCTAAACTTTGCAACAGTATAGTTTTCCCGAAATATTTATTTTGCTGTGAAGTTTGGCATACCTATCTAACGAGACGCACAAAAAGAGCTAAGGCCGCTCAAGCAAAATTTACTGCTGGAATCTCCTTAAAATGTGATATTAGCTGGGAAGTATTGAGATGAATATTGAAATTCGAAGTACAGATAGCTTGTGATACCCAACGAACACTAGGCAATGATGTCGGTCATTATTTTCATATAAATGAAAATAAATTGCAAGGCAGGCTAAATAAAATCGGGTCTTCCTTTTTACGCGTTGCTAGATAACCCTAATTTTATTTACTAAACTCTGCGGCAGCAACGTCTGCACACGATCATCTGTTTTGGAATCAACTGCTTCCGATGCAATCAACTAGCTTCAAGTAAGGGATAGTGTTAGCTATAGCTATAAAAGGAAGTTGTTTGGTCGAAACCGGTGGTATACTTGAGAAATTTTACCGCAGTTCTAATGCGAACTCTGTGAAATGCCGACTGCGTGCCCGTGTATGTATAAAAGAAGCCTGCTTCGATTAGCTATGAACAACTGTGTGGTTGCAACTGGTTTTATGTTACAGGAATGGGCATGGAGGCTGTCCTAGTAGCGCGCTGTGGCTAAAGCTAAACCGATCAACTGTCATTATCGCTGTTGAGGTTGCATGGGCACGATCAAATCATTCCACGATGCAACAGAGCTGCCCGAAGGGGCAACTACAATTTAAATAATAAACACTATTGCACCTCTGGCTTCCCTGAAAATTTTACTAACAGTGGCAAAGATCGAATTTTAGATTCTGTTCACTTTCAGTGGAGATTGCTTTGAAAGAGTTTTATGTCCCTGTGGTAAATATATCGAATACTCTGAAAAACAGGTCAAACAAAATACGATGGAAGCCACTGAATTGATGTTATTCCGTGATGATCTTAACTCAAATTAAATTTGCTGTTTATTATCAACTAATATAGTTAGTTATAACTAGGTACAGATTGGGTTTCTTAGATTACAGTCTGCCTCACTACACATGCTTTGCAAAATACATTTTAAATGTTATTGTCTACGATCATTTCATCTTATGTAGGGATATACAAGCAAATATGATGCAAGTGGCTGTCTAAGGTAACCAGCTCTTCTAACCAGCTCTTCTAAGGAATGAAAAGGTGATTGACCACCTCATTTACGCATTGCTTAGCAAAAAAAACGGACTCAGTTCTGTTTTTTCTGTTGTCTTTGGGTCGTTTCGGTTGGCTTCAAAAGGAAATAAATTGAAAAATAAATATGTATTTCTTTTGTTAAAACTACATATCTTCCAGGAGTGCATTCACGAACAGGCCTACATCGCGACCTGGGGCATTCAGCGACTCAGTCCCGACCGGTGGCTCCCACACTCCCCAAATGGTTTTCACCCCTCAACAAAAGTTAAGATCATCGACACGCGTTGAACGTCCTCAGTCAGGTCCAGCTCGGTCCATCACAAAACAGGTACATGGTACGCACTGCGCGATTTCTAAGTGTTTTATTAGATAGTTTTGTGCCCTAGCTTGCTTTATAAGTGGAAATTATTGATCATTAATAGGGTCTAAGAGCAATATCTTTAGAAATTGTATGGTTTACATTCTGACGCAGAAGTCGTTCTCGTTGACTGTGCTATTATTACAGGTGTCCCCTATCGATGAACTAACCGAGCTGTTTTCGCGTAGCAGTGTTCGGACAGCTCCTGGTGGCATGACCATGGCGCCAAACCCAGGTAACCCGCAGGCTGGTACACTGGGTGCCCTCAACCAGAATGTATTGTACGCTGCGAGTGGAATGAACAACGTAGCCAGTCTCACCCATGGCAGTCGCGCATCGACGCCTTCATTTGGCCATTCTCCTTATCCACTTGGTACGGCAAGCGCAAACGGCGCAGCCAACGGCATCAAGACGACACACCACCAACATCAGCCCCCGCAGCAGCAGCAGCAGCAACAGCAACAAAACCAGTACCCATTGTGAGTGCAAGTGTGCGTATGTGTGTGTGTATGTGTGCATGTGCTTGCCAGCTTTAAAATGTATGACCTTTTGGTTTTTCGAAGGTTTACAATACGCGTCCTTGATATTCGAATACGCCAAAAGTAGAAAACTGTTCCTTTCTATCGAAAGGACATGACTATTAATCGTATGCTTACGTGAACTTGTTTTCATACAGTCTGAACTACTTTAGGAAGACATCTGCTTGCGAATATTATCTTAAGCACATACTTATACTACACACATTTAGTTGGAAATGTTGAAGTATTTAAATTAACTCCAACGTTCTATTATATAAATTTACGGGCTTCTTGTGTTACCGACGCCGCCATAACCGGCTGTCGCCAGTTTTAGTTGCTTTATTCTATAATTGTTCTTATATAGCGGTATTAAACTTATGGACTTACGCTGAAACGTTTGCACTTATATGTAAAATCTTAAGTGTTTCATTCGGTGAGTCAACTTAAGATAAGAGAATCCGTTGCCACTAAAAAAATATTTTTCATCTTTTAGTAATTATAAAGTGCTAATAAGTTCGTGCTATTTGTGAGAATGCTTTTTATTGTAAAAATTGCTGAACACGTCGACGCTTTATGATCTATATAACACCGAAAAAGATATCGGTAATGATGGAGTTATTTCCTAATACATACACATTTCTCGAAAATTTAAGTGTTAAGAAATGCGCGATTTGTTTAGAGCTTGCAGCAAGCTTCGAATACATTAGGAAGGGTTGAGTACATTAGCGATGGACAATAGAAGGCCTGCATAGCTCAGGGATGATATGAAGGCCTCCATAGATTGAACTGAAACCTTTTCCTATATTTGTTCTGTTCTTTATATAGATACAGATAAATTTACATAGATATACACATATATGTGGTTGTATGGCGTCCCCGACAAATATACATGCGTTTGAGGCGAGTTTTTTTCCACAAAATTCTATCATAGAGATGGGCATAGCTTTGAACGTTGTTAGCATCCTTGTTCATCGTCTCTGCAATACAGCAGTTCTTTGTTTAGTTTATTCGGCCCGAACTGGCAGCTGATGACGAAAATCAATTCGTTGTCTAAACGAATTTTCATTTCTCGCTTGGTCGGCTTTTCTGCAAACCAACCTTACTTCACTCCCGTTTATTTCTAGGACATACCTGAACTGATAGAAAGAACAAGAAAGACAGATGTGGAAAGCATTCAGGAAGGAGAACATATGGCAAACCAGAAAATATCATTGAAATTTCTACTATCTGTCCTGCTTAATTTTTCAATCACTTTAGTCGATATTTTTGCTAGCTTAAATGGCTGTGCACTAGTGCATGTACGAACTTGTTTGTTTTGTTTTTTTTATTATTGTCGTTGTCCTTTAACATTGTTAAGTATGTGGTATGTATTTTAGCTTTGTGTACGGTGTAATTATGTGGATGACTTCCAGTCTACGGAACAGTCCTGCCGAAGCGAATTCAATACTATCGTCATCCGCTGGAAACAGGCTAGGAGCTCATCTCGACGTTCTAGCTTTCCCCACTCCGAGTCCGAATGGCTCGAATCAGTACAGCAGTAATGCACAGCAGTCGAGCTTTTCGGGCTCCCCTCAGCAGCTCGGTGGCTTCAGCTGGCAGCTTGGTGGACCCTACTCACACCAACAGCAACTCCAGCAACAATCGCAGCAGCAGCACAATAAACCGTATTCGTTTAGGACGAACCTTTCCCCGTACGCCAGGTACGCAGTCCACTAAGTACCAACACATAAAAAGCCTCAAGGGCGAAAAAACGTTCTATGTGGTAGCCAAAAGATGTCTGTAGGTTCAAAGATAGCTCTAGGCCAGCGATATAATAATTAGCCATATATGGCTAGCAAATTATGAGCGATTAGAAATGCGATAATAATGGATTGTAGATAAGACAGGACGACGGTTAACATTTTGGATCTCGTTTCTCGTTGTCTAGCACACGCACTGCGGCCGCACGATGTCATACAATTATATGATGTTCATTTTCATAATGAATGAATAAGATTTACACAACTACTTGAGTGATAACAATAAATAAAATGAAGTGAAAGAGAACAGACAAGCAAGACGAGAAGCTGTAGAACATGTAGGAAAACCTAAAAAGTCATTGTAGAAATGTACATTACGGTTGCTTCCTATAATGTTAATACTTAAGTACATACCTACCAGTCCTTACATCGGCTATAAAAAGTAAGTGTTCGAGGAGTCATTAGTTCTAATACTAGCAATGATCATCGCGTTCGTAGATACTGTCGGATTGAACGATAGTCCTCGAGTTGTTATTTTAGAGTAGTATAAAATTATTCATTTTTGGCTTTGTCTGTAGAGACGGGATCTACAAAACGTATCAGGCTGGCGATACTGCCTGCAACACGACAATTTATGATCCCGTTACTCTCTGTATCGTCAAATTTCAGTCTAAGGTGCGGGAAAGTAATTGCCACACTATCAGCTCAATCAACTTAATCAGGAAAAACTTCATCCTGTAATTATAATAGTTATTAAGCGCATCATCTCGCTAACGACCTAGTACGCATGATTAACGCGTGCCAGCTACTTATTGTTATATATATATGTATATATATATATATATATATATATATATATATATATATATATATATATATGTGCGATGGCAAAATAAATCATAGTATTGTCAGTCGAAGCTAGAAGGTAACGTTTGAAAGTGTTTTCATTTGAGTCGTGTTAAAGGAGAGCAACTTAAAACAACTTACAAAGGTCAAATTATTCGTCAGTTCTGTTTATAAAAGAAACCTTTTGGGCAACCTTTATATCAATACCAGACCCATCTAGTAATCGATTTTACATTTTTGGGGCTTTTAATCAATATACGTATATTAAAAATTTACGACAACTGTACAGTAGGTGTCACAGGTAATCATCGTAAGTGCTAGTAATGATGGAGTACTTGTTATCGTGTTCCACGGGTTTGAATTACCATGATCTGTTCAGTACTTAAAAAAGAAGCAGTGCATATTACATTTATTGGGAGGTACGGAAGTTCCTTGAAATGGAAGTGTCTGCAGGTTAAATCAGAAACTAAAATAAAATTCAGTAAAATAGTAATTTCGGGAACGGTTCATTCTCCGGCTGAAACACGCGGTTTGGTCGTTGTAAATGGAGCATGTACGTGGTGGTTTCTCATTTAGTCAGTCTTAAAGATTCTGTGCATTGAGGCCAAATAGCGCAAATGTGATGCTTCCGCGGGACGCACAGAAGAGCCGTTCCCAGATTACAGTCTAACCGAACGTAACGTGTTTTCATTTGTCTAGATACTCGTAGCGCGCAACAATTGATGTCAGAATATTGGAAAAAGCCTAGCGAATTTGCTGATTATTACAAACACTATTGGCTTCTTGGCAGTACAGCAGAATAATGCTCTGAGCCACAACATTCAAGGCCCCGGATTAAGTTCACGTCTGCCCTTACGTTCCGTAAAATATCATCATGTGCCGGTGTTCAAGACCCCATACGCGTTTCTTATCAGCGGAATCGTCACAACAGACGTCTCAAGTCATTATTGCTGTGCTACCGTCACCGGAACGACGGCTATCCAGGAGCCTAACTAAAACATCATCTTGAGACGAGTCAGATAATGTCCTCGATTGTGCGGCAAGTGCATTTCCATTATGCATTGTTGCCAGCGCACAATAATACTGTAATTAATTAGAATATTTATCGATACGAAATTCTAATTACACAGAGTATACGACTAAGATCGACTCACTTTGCCAAATGAAAATGTTCAATTTGAGTTAAAAAAAAAAAGCGGCTTAAGACAGAAGTTATAAATAACTTCTGTCAATTATTGAGAAATTTACTTTTTTGTGCGCTTTACGTGTTGGCTGAATTATAGCGTTAACGTCGAGCGATACAGAGACCACGGTTATTCAGAAGAAATGGGCTGAAAAAACTTGCTTCACAAAATTAAAAATGCGACTCTAGAATACATTACAAACACGTAACGGGAAACGTAAAGAGGCAAACATGTTTTTCGTAACATCAGTTTTAGATAAAATCTTTGAAAAATTAAACAATATTTCTGAAAAACCTTTAATTGCAAAATCAGTCTAGAGAAAATTTAACAGAGCCACGAACCGTATCGCTCAATATGAGGAAGAAGCTGTAGAAATTATGTGCTTTTTAGAAGCTCTATCAATGGTCCGGAAAATTCAGATTAAAGATTAAAGTATAAATTTTAAAAAAAAATTATTTATCAGATAACACTTTCACTGCAAGTTGTAGCAGCCTAGGCGATACACCAAAGTCCCGAATTCGCAGGTGACGTTAAACCATTCACCCGTTGAACTTTGTTAACCTCTCGATATATATTTTCAAATGAAAGAGTGATTTTACTAATATACAAAAATCAAACAATTAACTGATACTTTCCTTGTTTCCACTGGTAATCAAATCAGTTGGTTCTCTCTGCCGAAAAGCACAAAATTGCTATTAATATTATAAAAAATAAATACAGGAAATCAGAGGGTATGCAATATGAGAGACAAATTTGATCAGCTCGTGTTGATATGCTCTCAAGTATCACACATTAGTCACTTTAATTCCCTTAATGCTTTAGTGTTTACTGTTCGACACGATGGCTAAGCTTCCTCGTAGTTTTAAGGAGAAAGAGCAAGCAGTCGACACTCTAATGAAGTTTTTTTAGATAATGAGCTTGAAGTTAGGAAATGTGTTGAACATGGACATCATATCACATGTTTCATCGTTTTTATTTTAAACTTTCATCCTCAGAACTTTTAACGACAGCCGTCGACCTCAAATCTAATAACAACTGCTAAAAGTAAGAACTTTAATAATAGAGAATATGTACTCCAAGTTAGCATTTCATCAGTGGATCATTTGTGCATTTTTCTGCAACGAAAGACATCGCAATGTAAAATAGATAAAACAATTTTCATTAGACAAGAGAAGGCAATGTGTAGTAAGAGGCAATGCTTGTTTCTATTGTCTGAGAAGAAATCATGTAACAAGTAGCTCTCGTAGCCATCAATCTAACTGTCCTAGATACAACGGCAGACAATATTTAATAATAAAGTGCGCAAAAACCAGTGAATAACCCAAAAAAGGTGCAAGGTTTGTCATATGTGTTTACGAATCTGCGATTAATTTATAAAAAGCTAATAAGTCGACAATCTGACGTACAGGCTAGGTACAGGCGACGATCAGTGACGCAAAAAATTATGCGAAATGTCGTAGATCCTGGTGAAATGAAAGGTCGTATATTAGAGGATTAGTTAAATCTCTGAAGTTGAACTGCATTGGAGAAAAAACCATGGCCAGTCTTTTAGTAGACGGATTTTTTGTTAAAATGAAAAACGATAAAAGACACAAAGCTGACGCACAAAGTCGGTTTCCTCACTTAAATTCGAACACTACCTGATGTGTCGTGCTTCAGATTCCAAAATGCGCGCTCTCGTCGGCGGACGAGACATACGGTTTAGGACTCATTGCAGATAAATGCGATCAATCTTTGGGTTAAACTATCCGGCTCGGATTCACAAGCGAATGGCGGTCGTTCAGTAATATGTATGCTTTAAACTCAATAACTGGCAAGTAGCATTCATAAATGATGACGATGGGAAGAGCAGGGTGCAATGTGTCTTTCGCTTAGTTCAGCCATGTATTGAATTACATGTACTGAATGAGCACAAGTCTTTCGTTCGGATGAGCTACTTCGAACAAAAATATCGGATATATCTTCTATAAGAAGATATGTCCGATATTTTTGTTCTATAAGAATATATATATATATATATATATATATATATATATATATATAAGAATATATTTAAGTTCTATAAGAACTTAAGCGTAGGTATAGAATCATTACTTAAAACCGGGTGTTCGAATTAAATTATATTATTCGGAGATTCAATAAAGCGCAGAAATACAAACTGCGGTCAGTCTCCTACCTAAAGACAACATCAGAGCTTTGAAGGATAATGAGTATTTAGCAATGTTACGCTTAAAACATTTTCTTCTAAAAACCAAAATTGATAATCCTGTTTCACATCGTCAAAATGAGGAATTAAAAGACGTTTGGAGATTGTTCTGCGAAACCTGCACCCCCTCAAAAGGAAAATGATTTCGTCTATTTACCTAAAAAAACCTTTCGTAAAGGTTAAGAAAAAGCAACATGCAGAGGAAGATAACCCTCATCCTTTCTTGCACCAGGATAAGATTAGTAATGAAAAATGTATAATTGAGGATGCATCGCTTAACGATTGCCTTTACTAGGCTTTAAACCTGTTATAATATTCTCAAGGTAATCTTGTGTTTTGTGAATTGTATTGGCGATATTGAAAAGACATTTCTTCGATTGATATTATACCCATTACATGAAGTCTACAAGGTTTAAATGTCCCCTAACAATCTCAGAAAACAAATCAGCTCCAATACAGGGTTTTTTTTTAATCTTTGGTCTAATTTGTAGCGTTTTTCCATTGCACTGGGCGGAAGTCACTTCAAGAAAAGTAAGCTATGCCGGGAGTGCGCAAAATGAATTCAAAATATTAATGATACAGTCTATACGGATGATATAACATCACGCATAACGTCAGTAGAGTGTTGCAAAGATAAATTTCAATTACTTAATAAAAGTTCCCATTCTGGAAAAAATTATCTAGGAAATAGGCAAAAAGTTTTGTTCCATTGGGAAAATTTAGGAAAAATCTTCTCCCCTTCCAGACAAAAAAAAGTCAATTACGACAACGAAATTTTTAGGTATCATATGGAATCAAAGGAGAAGAAATCAAATACTTTCAAAGAAAACATAATATTTACTCCGTCATCAAAAAGCCGAACGAAAAAAAACTTGTTGGAAGCTTTCGCACAAAACTTCACTCCTATTTGTTGTACCAGCGCCTAAAACGATACAACTAAAATTCTTATTGCAAAGAATATGGCAACATGAAATCAATCGAGATAGTGTTTGAAAGATCAATATCTTCAACTATTTAGGGTTTTTGTGTTCAATCCTTCGGGAAAAGGATTATTACAAACTAATCGACCTGCTTACCGGCCTGGCGGCCTTCTGGGACGCTAGCCTAATATGGTTGAGTCGCATATTCTCATTGCTAACAGGGCCAGTAAAGCTAAAAATATAACAAACAGAGTTAAGTAGAATTTCGTCAGATAGTGCGGCAGATGTTGCCTCTAGGGGTACGCCGGTCATTGAAAAGGTAGCAAGCTTGTGGAAAAATGGGGCACATCGGCTGAGAGAAACGAAAAACCATAGTTAAAACACGTTTCATTGACCTGAGGTGAGCAGACAATCGGAAAGGACAATTTAGAAATTGTAATCGAAGCTAAAGCGTGTATCGTAAACCCCAGCCAGTCTATCTCTGACGTTGGATCTTTAGAGATTTCTTGACTACACCAAAATTGGTTACACTTTGACATTGGTCAGAAAAATATGACAAAGTCTGCAACATCTGACGCTGGCAACGGTATTCGATCAACTGAATTTTTTTATGTTAAGACGTTAGAGAACATATTCAACA